TTGCGTGGCGCATCGTCGCAATCACGTCGTCGCTCTCAACTACACGGACGGGTAAAACGCCGACTCGTCATTGCATCTGTGGAGCGAATTGCCGGAAATGCGTGCATCGCTTACAAACACGCGCATCGGTTTGAGATGTCGCGATCAAGTTCGACATGTGATTGCGAATCAGACACGTGGGCGTCATGGCTACCAACGCGTTCCTAATGTCGTGTCCGCGAGTTCCAGCCGCACCCCCTCATATCCTCCCATCAAATCCCCCCTTCCCACCATTCGAATGCGTCCCCACTGTCCCCATGCCCCTTTGCAGCCCTCTCTCCCCGCCGTCTGTCTGTGGTTTAGGGATGGGGCATCGCTGGATTCGGAGAGCTTCACCCCACGCCGTCTGGCTCGTACGCCCTCCTCTCCTCGCCTTGTTTGTAAGCGTCTCTTTTCCCTCATCCCCTCCCATCTACATCCGAGCCCACCTCTTCCCCTCGCCCCTCCCTTCTCCTCACCTCCAATCCCTCCTCTCTCCTTCTCTCTCCGTTCCGCCGCAACCACTCATAGCCTACCATCCCCTACGCCCCGTATTCTCTTCTCAGCCGTTCCACGCAAGCCGCCCCTTCCCCTCTCCATCATGCACTGCTGTCGTTCTCGAAACCGTGCTCCTCGCCGTCCTGGTCGGCCGGCCCGGCCCCGCATATGAGGGTATATCACCATTTCTCTCTTCCATTCCCCCCTTCCCCTCCTCCTCCCCCCACTATCCCAGGCTCGACTCTCCTCCCAACCCAGGCGAGTGGCGATCTGGCGAGCCAAACCACACGAAACAAAAACCAGAGAACAACAGTGAGCCATCACGAAAACAAACGCCAAACCACACGTCCCCCCTCCTCACGTCCCCACTCCGCCTACACTCTCTCCCACTCACCTCCTCACCTCCTCACCTCCTCTCCCCCTGCTTTCCACTCCCGTCCCCCTCTCACCCCTCCCTCCTCCCCAGCAACAGGGTGGGTGAGCAGCGGGCGGAGTGGGGGCCGGTGGGCGAGTAGATGGCGGGCGCATACCGAGCAGCACGTATGCTCAACACATAAAAGCGTACACCACACGCAACACGAAGGCAATGCGCCCCGCCAAGCTAGGCAATGCATGCTCGGCTGCCTACCATCTGGCCATAGTGCTGCAAAATTGCACCCTCCCCCATGGCTCCCCACGTGAAGCCACACATGTGCATGCACTACCTCCCGCCATGGCTCCCTTCCTCCCTCCTGCCTTGTTGTCTCACTAATGAGCTTCTTCCCCGTTATCTCATTCCCCATGTACACGGTTATCTCATTCCCCATCTGCCATGTTATCTCATTCCCCATCTGCCCAGTTATCTCATTCCCCATCTGCCCAGTTATCTCATTCCCCATCTGCCCAGTTATCTCATTCCCCATCTGCCCAGTTATCTCATTCCCTATCTTCCTTGTCCTTCCTGCACATGTCTGCATGGCACAGGGACCAGCCTTCACGTAACCAGTAGCAACAACTGGGTTGAAACGAGATTCTGGCAACAGCACGGATGAAAGGAGCCATGTGTGGGAAGAGGGGAGTGAGTGATCAAAAGGAGGACAAATCTGGAAAGGAAAAGAACGAGTGTGACGTTGTACATATTATTGTTACAACATTCGGTTGCTGAAATCTGTCACACAAGCCCTACCACCATAAAGTCAGCATCATGCACAGCTCCCAAGACCTCCATGCTGACGTGGATCACATACCCAAAGGGGCATGTCATCGTATTAGAAAACCACGAAGCTCCAAGGCCCACATACTGGTGTGGCGAGGTGTGCTCACCAACCATGGTCGGAGTACCCACCTATGCATGTTGAGAGGTGCGTTTACGCCCGCACCGCCATTTCGTGCCGCTTGCATCAGCGGTGATTGGTTGGCAATTCCCCTGCGGGAGTGGTGTGGGGAAAGGACACATTGAGCATTATGTACCATACGTCGTGCTGACCACGTTGCCCTGCAAGTGGCATATCTCATGTGGGATTACCGCAACAAAGAGGGGTAGATGGAAGGCATTGATACACATAGGTGGGCTGTGCCACTTTTTGATGTGACCTGGGACTTAGCAACTACGTTTTTGAAGCACGACAACGAACCCAGCAAGCGGCGACGGGCTGGTGTAGGTCGCTTCTTGGGTTTGGGTGCACCAGATCGAGTCGTGCTGCCCTGGCATCCAGGCGAAAATACGAGGTCAGTGGTCACAATCGGGCTGCCTTCAGGCTCAACTGAAACGGTGCTGGAGGGTCCGGTCACGGTGCGTTGGCGCTGCGCACGGGTGTTCTCACTTCGTGCCTCATCGTCAGCACCATCAACACCCTCTCCCTCTCCGTTCCTCTCAGCCTCCCCAGCATCCACTGCACCTTGTGCCAACCACTCCCGCATAATGCTGTCCACCCATGACCAGTCCATGGGTCCTAATATCCTCTCCTTTCGGCCCCTTTGCACACGCGTCACTTTCCGCACCCGGATGCGATATGCTTTGACGAGCCGGTCCATGCAGCTGTTCCAATGCAGCACGGCCAAGGCTATGCGAGCCTCCATGCTGCCTCTGAATCGCAGCCGCTTGGGTGCATACTTGCAAACAAGTGAGTGGAAATACTCGTTCAGTGAGCTGTTTGCGCCAAGAATCAATGTTGCCACTTGGGTTGGCCCGAGCCGTGATTTGAACCATTCACGAACAGCCAAGTGGGTAGGTGATCCAAAAGCGTATACAGCACTCTCTTCCCCCCACCCTTCTGAAATACAGCGTGGAGGCATGGTTCCCACACGTCGGCAGCGAGTATGGTCACCTGCCCAGTGATCTGCAGCAAGCCCCAACTCCTCAGACACCTGCTCCGGCGTCATCGGGTGTCCCTCGCTGGCCTTGGTGGCAGCCCACATCATGCAGTGCTTGAAATGCACGCTAAAGCGTTGACCAACGGAGAACACCAATTTCTTGCTACCAGGGTTCTCTCCAGCAGGGGTCGCACTGGTACCTTCCCCGCGTGCCCCCTTCTTTGAGCTACGTTTTGACCACCGTCACTGCTCCTTGCTCTTGATGCTGGAGATGCCATCCTGCCCTCTTGCAAGTCCCCAAGGTATGAGCATCAGGACATTAGAGGCTGGTTGTGTTGCAATGGTAGTGCACACCACACTTGCCATGTGCATTCATGGCTGAAGAGGTATGTGTGGGGCTGGAGTGGTGGTAATGAGTTTTGTTTGGGGCTGGAGTGGTGGTAATGAGCTTTGTTTGGGGCTGGAGTGGTGGTAATGAGCTTTGTTGGGGGCTGGAGTGGTGGTAATCGTGCATGTGTCTGGCTGCAGGATATGAGCCATCCCCTCTGTTTCAGCTCTTGTTGGCTGGGCAACCTCTGCACACACGCCATGGATTGGGGCCTCATTAGGATATATACGCACTTGCAGTCTACGAGTATATGCAGACTCAACTTCAGTTTGTCCCACTCTATATTTACACAATGTTGAGTTTTTGAGGGTTTCTCACCTTGTGTGCGCGCACGTTCATAGGCCTTGCCCTTTCGGGCCCCTCCCCAACCAACCCCACGGACAGGGCGTAATCTGCCCCGTCTGTCCTCTTTGTAGGCCGGGAAGTTGTAAACAAGACCCTCAATTTGGATGTCCTCGTTCCCAATTATCCCTGTGACTGCATTAGGCCCGTTGCTTGCCCGAGCGTCGAACTGTCGCCCGTATGCCTCAAGGTGCAGCTCCGCTGTTGCTAGTGCTTCTCCCCCGTGTGCACCTGGACATACGATGAGGGTTGTAGAGGCACATAGGAATACGCGTGTGGTATGGGCGCCATGTTATCCTTACAACACTCACCCGTAAACCCCTTTTCCCTCCCACAATCGGTTCTCCCATGTACCTGCGGCTACGCGGTCGGAGCATTCATCATGAAATAGTACAGCACGTCCGATGTTGTAGCCTCGTTCTTGCCACCCATCAAAGCCGACAACCCGCAGCATTGTAGGCATATGACTGGCCGCATGTGCTTGGATATACCGTGAGTGGCCTTGTCATGCTCGGCACTAAGCCCCGCAACTGGATTGGCTTCATTTGCAGTTGTATCCTTTGTCTTCCTGCCAATTTAGGATGGTATGGGGTGAGCAGGGTGTGGCGTCGTGGCATGCCCATGGTGCAGGGTGTGTAAACCTTTATAATTGTGTGGACTCAGCCCCCGTCCTCGCCTCGACCCACCTCGGTGCAGTTGAGAACTTCCCTTTTGGCTGTGTGATGCACATGCATAATAAACAGCCAGCCAATACACAGGGGGTTGACATGAGCATTGGAGGCACAGCAGACTGGCAGGCACCTATCAGCATCCTCGCGCTCCTGGTTGGGAGCAAACATAGGGAGGAGAGGGGAGTGGGGGGGGAGGGGAGGGGAGCAGACGAGGCCCCGCCAAATGCCAGGCCCCTCCCAGTCTTATCGTCTGCCTGGTGGGGGGCAAAGGGAGGGAGGAGAGGTGTGTGGGGGTGGGGTACTGCGGATGACAGGGGTAGTAGGGGGAATGGAAGATGACAGGTGTAGCAGGGGGAAGGGAGGATGACGGGGGTAGCAGGGATAAGGGAGGCTGAAAGGGGTAGCAGGGTGGAAGAGAGGATGACAGGGGTAGCAAGGGGAACGGAGAATGAAATGGGTCGCACGAAGATAAGAGAGGGGAGTGGAGGGCATGCACGGTCGGAAAGGTGGGGTGGCCATAGTGGGGTGGGAAAAGCGGACATGGGGAAGTGGGGGATTGGACGGGGTATCAGGGGGGGGGTGGACGGGGGGAAGTGGGGGATTGGACGGGGGGAAGTGGGGGATTGGACGGGGTATCAGTGGGGAATTGGACGGGGGGAAGTGGGGGATTGGACGGGGGGCAGTGGGGGATTGGACGGGGGGAAGGGGGGATTGGACGGGGTATCAGTGGGGGATTGGACGGGGGGAAGTGGGGGATTGGACGGGGTATCAGTGGGGGATTGGACGGGGTATCAGTGGGGGATTGGACGGGGTATCAGTGGGGGATTGATCGGGGGGAAGTGGGGGATTGGACGGGGGGTAGTGTGGGATTGGACGGGGGGGAGTGGGGGATTGGACGGGGGAAGTGGGGGATTGGACGGGGGGAAGTGGGGGATTGGACGGGGGGAAGTGGGGGATTGGACGGGGGGAAGTGGGGGATTGGACGGGAGGAAGTGGTGGAAAGGCCAGGGGAGTGCGGGGAAGGACGAGGTGGATTGGGGGAGAGGGAGGGTAGGACTGGGGGTAAGGGAGGGTGTTAGTGGGGGAAAGAGAGTGAGCAGGGTGTAGAAGGGGGTGAGCAAAGGGGGTAAGAGAATGAGCAGGGTGTGGAAGGGTGTGTGCAACGGAAGAAAGAGAGTGAGCAGGGTGTGGAAGGGGGTGGGCAAAGGGGTAAAGAGAGGGAGCAAGGTGGAGAAACGGGTGAGCAAAGGGGGAAAGAGAATGAGCAGGGTGGATAAAGGGGTGCGGAAATGGGGAAAGAGAGTGAGCAGGGTGTAGAAGGGGGTGAGCAAAGGGGGAGAGAGAGTGAGTAGGGTGGAGGAGGGGGTGAGCAAGGGGGGAGAGAGAGTGAGTAGTGTGGAGAAGGGGGTGAGCAAGGGGGGAAAGGGAGTGAGCAGGGTGGAGAAGGGGGTGTGCAAAGGGGGAAAGAGAGTGAGCAGGGTGGAGAAAGGGGTGAGCAAAGGTGGAAAGAGAATGAGCAGGGTGTGGAAGGGGTGTGCAACGGAAGATAGGGAGTGAGCAGGGTGGAGAAAAGGGTGAGCAAAGGGGGAAAGCAAGAAAGCAAGGGTTAAGGAGAGGGAAAGAGACCACACAGGGGGGAAGGGAGTGAGCAGGGGGACCAGAGAAGTGTGCAGGGTAGAAGAGAGGGAGGGGGTTAGGGAGTGAGCAGGGGGAAAGAGAGTGAGCAGGGGGAAAGAGAGTGAGCAGGGGGGGAGAGAGTGAGCATGGGGGAAGAGAGTGGGCAGGGCGGGTGAGAGTGAGCAGGGGGGGAGAGAGTGGGCATGGGAGTGAGCCGGGAAAAGAGGATTGAGCAGAGGGGGAACGAGAGCGATAAGAGTGAAAATGGGCGAGATTGGGGGAAAGCGGGGTGAAGAGAGTGAGCAGGAAGTGAAGGCAGGTATGGAATGTGGATGCAGGTATGGAAAGTGGACGCAGGTATGGAGAGTGGAGGGGGAAGTTCAGGCGACGGGAAGGGAAAGGGAAGGCGACGGCCCAGTCTCGCGAGAACGACCCTAAACTCACCTCTCGGGGAGGGGGAAGTGGAGGCGACGGGAGGGGGAAGTGGAGGCGACGGGAGGGGGAAGTGGAGGCGACGGGAATGGGAATTGAAGGCGACGGGAAGGGAATGTAGGGGCGACGGGAGGGGGAAGTGGAGGCGACGGGTGGGGGAAGTGGAGGCGACGGGAGGGGGAAGTGGAGGCGACGGGAGGGGGAAGTGGAGGCGACGGGAGGGGGAAGTGGAGGCGACGGGAGGGGGAAGTGTAGGCGACGGGAGGGGGAAGTGGAGGCGACAGGAGGGGGAAGTGGAGGCGACGGGAGGGGGAAGTGGAGGCGATGGGAGGGGGAAGTGGAGGCGACGGGAGGGGGAAGTGGAGGCGACGGGAAGGGGAATAGAAGGCGACGGGAAGGGAAAGTGGGGGCGACGGGAGGGGGAAGTGGAGGCGACGCGAGGGGAAAGCGAGGACGACGGGAGGGTGAATTGAAGATGGTGGCGTGAGGAGAGGGGAATCATGGCGATTGGTCATGATGGTCATGTGTTTCGCAGTCACGATTGCCATATGGGTGTAGGGACGAGTTTACTAATGAGCGAATGTGTGGAGAGACACGTATTCTCAGGTATCGTTCTCCACCATGGACTCACGGAAATGTGTTTGATATTCCGCCGCATTCCGCTGCTTTTTGAATGCGCCGACGTTCGTGCCCATTGGAGGTTGTGAGCGGCTCTTACGTACCTTCGTGACCCTCCCTTGGAAGGTCGACGAGCCATAATCCCTTTCTCGCCGTCTTTATCAATGTGTTTCTGTTTGCCGTTCCACGCCGTTTGACGTTCTATCCTTTGTGGCTGTGGTAACCCTAAAAATGTGCCTGCTCGCGCCGACTACTTTATTTGGCTGCTACATGCAGTATCTAGAATTAGCGGGCCTAATAGTTTGATGCCAGTGAATGCAGGTCGTGGTGTTGTGTGTGTGGTTTGCGCGAGTGTTGTGTTGTGTGTTTTTGGGTCGCAATGTGTGGCTTGCAGTTTGCGACAATTTCTATTGGCCAGTTCTCTGTGGTTTGACATGGCAGTTCGCTAAAGAATTCGCGAATGGGCCCGCGGGGTGTGCCTTCTTTCGGCTCCCAACTTTCACTTCACACCCCTCGCCACCCGACAAACCCCATGGCCAAGCTTTTAAAACTTGTGCAATTTGGGCCAACGGCTTTAAGCGTAACAAAGTTGTACTCGTTTTTTCTCTGTTGTTATGCATGACATGCCTTTACAACGTGTATCTACCTATGGTTTTCACCTCTATCTAGTCTAGCCTAGGGGAGTTCGTCCTCCTCGTCGGACTCGGGCTCCGGGCAGTTGTTTCCCCAGAAGCCATCGGCGGTAATCTCGTCGTCCACGTCCACTTCCTGTGTCAGCTGGCTCCTCCTGTGCGCCATCGCCAGCTTGTCCTCGCTCCCATCAAGCGCGCTGCCGATGCCGCACGCGAGGAACGCCTATTTGATGAGCTCGGTGGCTTCCTTATGTTGCCTGCACCACATGAAAGCGACGGAGGGAAATGGTTAGAACAATAGGCGGGGGGTGGGGGGGGGGGGGGGGGGGGGGGGGGGGGAACAGCACATTCGCGCACGTATAGAAACCAGAGTTAATCTCACCTGCTGTCGTCAGCGTGCCGATGCCGCCCTGCTCAAACCAGCTCTGGTACTGCTGGCGCACGCCGGCCTTGAATCTCTTGTTGGCCGACACGTCAAGGGGTTGTACCTCCGCCGTACATCCCCCCGGGATCACCGCTGGCACGATGTTGAGCTCGGCATAACAACTAACAAGCTTCTGTTTTTGTGCGCAGATGTCGTCGTTGGGTGCCAAGAGAATGGATGGATGGACGTCGCAGGCGTCATCCAGGGCTCGACGAGGCTGGCAAGCCCTTCTTTTTTTTACCTCGTCCGTGAGGTGACCGCGGTAGGAATCCAGCACCAGCATCGCGATCCTTGCGCACACACCGAACTTGGGCTTGATGAAGGGCTTGATGCACTCGTCGAGCCACCGCATGACGCTCGCGGCGTCCATCCATCCATTCTCGTGACACGCCACGACGACATCTGCGTACGATCGGAAACGATTGTTAGTTTTAAAGTTAAAGAAAAGCAAACATGAAACACAAAACAAAGCTTACCGTTCAAGAAGTCTCCCTTTGGGACGGTCTTGCACTTGAAAAACACCCGCGTCTTCAGCTTCTCCCTCATTGTCGTGCACGCCAGCATCACCGTGACGCTCTCCTTCAGGTAACCACCACTCCTGATGGGCACCGACTTCACGCCCGCTTGCTCCACGGTGGTAGTCGCCGGCATCTCCAGCCACACCGGAGTCTGGTCGGCGTTGATGATGTACCGGTTGTCGATGTCTTATTCACGACGCCGGTCGCTCACAAAATGCCAAAAGTCCTTGCACTTGACGGCAACATCTGCACATGGGGGGGAAAGGATGCAGAGGAACCCGTGTTAGTAAAAACAGAAACAACCATAGAAATAACAAACAAATCCAACAAATACCAAGGGAAATCGCGCGAATTCAACTACAACAAGGCACTAACGGTCGGCAGTTTTCTGCGCCACCTTTGTTTTCATGCGGACGCTGAGATTCCACCGCTTGCGGATCCGCTCCGACCACCGCTGGCTACCTTTCCACTTCACGTCCGGGAAGAGGACATTCATGACCTCGCGCGACCACTTCTGCAGACGGCCAATAGAAACGTCGACACCCTTGCGCCGCTAGTCGAGGAGCTGCTCGTAGACCTTCATCTCCATCGACCTCTACCAAGAGGATCTGTCGCGCCCGTGTAATCGCTTCCGTGCGCTGTGGGCATCTCTGAGAAGCTTCGCCTGGTTATTTGGTCAAGCACTTCCGGTGGATGCCCGACTCAAGCGCCACCTCGCTTATCGATGCCGCAGCCTCCAGGCGCACGGGCCACTTGAGATTTTCTTGGGCGGTAAACGATTGTCGCTTATGCTGCGTCGGCTTGTGCCTGGGAGAGGGGGGGCATGAATCACGGTTCTTAGAAGAAGGGTGGGGACGCTTTCTGTTAATCGGAGGATAAGACGAAATCGACAGCTTCTCAGGTAGGCCGTCGCGCGACCGATACTCGAAGCCCTCTTCGTCGTCGTCTCCCGCACCACCCTCGGATAATAACATCAGCCTCGGTGCCAGCCTCGGCGCCCCTTTCGCCCTCGGCGCTCGTTTCGCCATCGTCGCGGTGCTCGTCGTCGGTGGCCACGTCGTCTTTAACGCCCACGGTCGACTCGTCCCACGAGCAATCTTCAGGCTGGCCCTATCGTGGTGCCGGCGCCGGCACTTCGATGCACTCATCTGGGGGCTTGTTACTTTCAGGTTCCGACAGGAACTCGTCGAATGCCGATGGCAGCAGAAGTGTGAGGACGGGCCGATTGCCCGCGTATGTAGGAGCAGGCGGATTTGTAGGAGCAGGAGGAGCAAGAGGGGACTGAGGAACAGGAGGAGCAGGGGGTGCAGGTGGCGCAGGAGGCCTTGGTGGCTCAGGAGGCTCTGGAGGCGCACGACTATACCAGCCGTCGTCGGTAAGTTGCCAGGCGCATGTGGGCTTTTTCTTGAAAAGGAAGTAGGTATCGGTAAATTCCGCCATGGCTTCCGCAGCCATGCGGGCTAGATGGAACAACTGAATGAAAAACTGAAAGAGAGGGTGCAGAAATGGGCAACGGAGGGGACCCCGTCGGGTTGGCGGCTCGGGGTCCTCGTCAATGACAGACGGGAAACCTCCTGCCTGAACCCGCAGAGGAGGGTTCGCGGCACCATACATGCGCTGGCAGGGCATATTCCACCCCCTTCTAGAGGGTTCGGCTGGAATGCACCTGCCTGGCAGCGCATGACGCTGTGATTGGGCCGCACGGTAGTTTTCGAGTCAGCGCAGGCAGGTGCGATGCTTCTGGACTCAAATGTGCGATGGGAAATCGAGTCGCAACTGTTTTGGCCTGGATTTCATGCACGATCCTGTTACGATATGGAATTGTTGAATAAATATTCCTGTAGTAACGAAACCCTAACGCGAAGATGACTGCAGCGAGGACGAAGACCGAGCGAAACAGACAGTTATTGTAGACGGTTGAAAGCATAAAGAATTTGAAGTGCAAACGCGGGAAATGCATTCAAACAGTTACTGTGGCGCATATTGTTACCAAAAACGGTTGGCATTCCCGATGTAGACTAGCCCTAAGGGGAATGTACCCCCTCAGAGTACATGGCTACCTAGGACTTTTCGTATTCCACTGTATTCCTAAATAAACCATTGTACCGCATTGTAATAGTCAATTTTGTCGAGAACTCAAATCTCCTTCTTCTGACAGGGTCCGTACCCGGCTTCACTAGCAATCTTCCGCTGCTACACTAAGTGCGATCAACCTGAGACGATCCTATAGACCGTCATTTCAGATTGTAACATGGTATGAGAGCCACTCATGATTCTTCGCATCATATAGACCGTCACTCAAATTCGAATTCAAGGTGGCGTCCGGTACGCGCTCCCACCGAAACATGGCGGGAGGATCTGGTGGGCAGGCGGCTCCCACAACCGAAGCCCCTGCCAACCCAACCGCTAATTCTGCGGCAACCACTACTGTCAGCAATGCGCTACTGGAGCAACTCATCCAGCGCATCACCACTCTGGAGTCAGGAATTCAAGAAATGAAAAATGGTAACCCGGGAACTTCTCAGCAATCCGAACAACCGACTGCTCCCAACACGGGACCGGCTCCAACCACATTCGACCTCGGGTCGAACATACCTGCTCCAACTTCTTCCCGTCCAAGCGACGAAGCCATGCTCACAGCCCAGATTAAGTTTCTAGCCATCTCGAAGATTCGTACAAGCACCGCCTTCAACGGGCGAGATTTCTACACGTGGAGTTTCGAGCTTGAATTGCTCCTCCAAAGCGCCCAGATTTTCTGCTTCTTCGACGGTAGCTATGCCGGCCCCGCTAGCGACATCGACGAAGCAAGGGCTCAATATTTCAATGAATCATGCATGGCGTACAGCATTCTGCTACGCAACATGTCACCAACCGAACAACTCGGCATACGTCCGTTCAAAAGCGATCCGGCCCCCGCCATGTCGGCTTGAAATAACCTAACCAAGACATACCAGCCCAAAGACTCCGTGTCCTCAAGCCACCTCCTTCAGCAACTCATGGAGGTCAAAATCACACCTGGCGAAAAGGCAAATGCCTACATCAACTGCTGCCGTAGCGTCCGCGATCAGCTCCTAAAACTAGGAAATTCGATCCCCGAAGACATGTTCATCACGATCGTCCTTCGAGGATTAGGACCTCAGTGGACTCCGTGCAAAGCCTTGCTCCGCCAGCAAGGCACAGTCCCTACTGCACGAGCAGCAAGACATGGACTTCAACCAGGAAAATGGGGGTCGGCGCGAACAAATCGCCTTCTACTTCGGCCGCGATCAGCGACGATCCCGCGATTCGCGCCCGCGTCAATATTACTGCAAAATTTTCGGTCACTCAACCGA